GAAACATAATCGGGGCGAGCCGGGACTCGAACCCACAATCATAGGTTTCTGGCGTGCACAGCGAATCACTGCGCCTTAGACGACTGGGCCACCCGTGCCCCCAATTGCTTCATGACCACAATGATGATCTATTTGGAAATACAAGTACTGAAGTCAGAGTCACTTATAGTTTGTGTGGGGTTGTATTAAGAAAGATGACTCTTGACGTGACCCATGGTTGGTTGGTTAGTTTGTTGCTTAACGCCACAGTCAGCAATATTCCAGTTATATGACGGCGGTCTGTAAATAATCGAGTCTGGACCAGACAATCCAGTTATTGGTATCATGAGCATCGATTCACGCAATTGGGATCGATGACAGGCATCAACCAAGTCAGCGAGCCTGACCGCCCGATCCCTTCACCCGTGAAGATTCCGGGATAGAATAGGTCTTCAGCAACCCATGCTTGTCGTAAGAGACGACTAACGGGATCGGGTGGTCAGGATCCCCGACTTGGTTGATGCGTTTTTATAATGTATTGTTGAATAATAGGGTATTCTTTTATTTATTCTAACCTAGTTACTTATTAACTGTGATATACTAGTTATTATGCTGTCCGTCGATGACAGGTTTTTTATTTTAATTTCAATATTATTAATGTTCTCGCCACGATATGGCTGAAATATTGCCGATGTGACGTTAAATTTTAACTCCCACACTCCAAATTGCGCGGACCGATGCTCATGTCAATCACTGGATTGTCTGGTCCAGACTCGATTATTTACAGACCGCCGTCATATAGCTGGACTATTGCTGAGTGCAGCGTTAAACAACAAGCAAGGCAAAGCAAACTACTGTTCAGTTTAGCTTTACTCATTTATTTTGCACGTCATGTGTTCAAGGGAAATGCACGAGATGACTTGCCGACTCTAGATGTTCGAGTGTGGCCTACATTTGGTCAATTCATCGATTTCACCCTTTCAAAGATTTCACTCTCAGTAATCAATGTTTAGTCAATGTATACGGTTTATAACTTATTCTATGTGTGCCCAGAATTGATTTCTTTCATATTCTATATTTCACTGATTATCCAATCAATAAAGGAGCCTTTGATCTATATATCGATTTGTGAATACTTCATTATTTCTAAATTAATCTGAATGTGAGATAAAATCCGTACAAAGAGAGACATATTGCATGGTTGGGTAAATTTACCATCAACTCTCTGGGTAAAAAAATTACCGTAACCACTTATGCAATGAAGGAAGGACTTTATTAATATTTACGGAAAGTAAGTAAGACAAGTACACATTAATACCATGTCGGTTCTCAAAAGCTAAAAGAATTTGCTTTATTTTGTTTACCAAGAAACACGCTAAATCATGTCAACAACATTGGATTTTTCACCCCTATCCCACACGACAAACTTCAGGGAAAACTTCATTCCTTGATCCAAGGGACATTTGTCACTAAACGTGGTGGCCATAGACATAGTTACATATCGATCTTCACAGATGCAGGACAATTTGTCAAAAATAAAAGCAAATGTCATCTGACGTTGACTGAGACCACAACATGAAATGAAATGCTGGACATTTAGGGAAGAGGTAGGCATCACCATGGGCACAAACTGTGGACCCTGCTTGCCGATTTGTTTCTTTTCGCGAACACCTGGTATGGTCACTATTTGATAGTGATTCATAAACACACACACTCATGATATAGTCGGAATCGTACAATCAACTCTACTTTAAGCAGAGATTTCTATTGAATATGGAAAGGGTTTTGTCGCTTTTATAAATAATCAAATGGCGTTTATCGCTTTTGACTAGTATTATGATAAAAAGGTCCTTGGCTGTTTTAACACTGAAATATTTATCCCTTGTGATGGAAAAATCAATACAATCAAGCAGGATTCGCTTGACTGTGATTCTTTCATCACAAGGGATACAAATCGGAGGATCCTACCTTTCGATAAATATGCATGAGTATATCTGCTGTGGCCAATACGACATCCTCACATAATGACCTCTTCAAATCTGGACTGACAACCCAAGTAGGTATAACCGATAGTTGGTTTAATTTCATGTAACTAATACCTTCTTAATTCCATCTTGAGCGCCCCCCTTATATTGCGTTAGATCACGGATGTGAGGTTTAATCACGGGTTTATAATCAGTGTATAGGATGAGAACTGGTGTCACAGATTTTTTTTATTGCTGATTTTTCTTTGCAGCAGCAGCATCGGTCATAGTGTTACCAATGATACCAACATGGCTGGGAAACCAACAGAAGATGTCATAATGCCCAGTAGCAAGATCATTAAATAATTCACGAATTTCAATTAAAATGGATGTTAATATTACATACACGGATCAAGGCCCGTATCTCTTTAAAAATAAATAACTTACTCATTCTTGATATGTATGTTTAAGATAACCAAGCAAACTGTCATTCAAGCGATTTCAGGATCCGAACGTAGCGAACATGACAGATGGGAGGTAGCTCATTAATGGTTTGGGGTGGAATCAGCCGGGCTAGGAGATCTGTTGTCCGTGTGTTAGTGAGGGGGACGATGACAGGTGTGCGTTACAGGGATGAGATCTTGGATGTGTACGTGAGAGCGTATGCTGGTGCGGTTGGTCCTGTCATCATCCTCATGAACGATAATGAACGTGCCCATCGTATGGAGTGGCCAGCTCGTTCACCGGACCTCAACCTGATCGAACACCTTTGGAACATCCTTCAGGTGTCCATCTCACGTCGTCCTGTGTATCCAGGCTCTCTACAAGAACTGATCCGTGAAGATCCGGGGTAGAATTATAGGTCTTCAGCAACCCATGCTTGCCATAAAATGCGACTATGCTTGTCGTAAAAGGCGACTAACGGGATCGGGTGGTCAGGCTCGCTGACTTGGTTGATGCATGTCATCGATCCCAATTGCGTGGATCGATGCTCATGATGTCAATCACTGGATTGTCTGGTCCAGACTCGATTATTTACAGACCGCCGTCATATAGCTGGAATATTGCTGAGTGCAGCGTCAAACAACAAACCAACAACAACTACCCGACCGACAACTGATTCAGAAATCACCATCAAACTCATCATTCAATGTTTTTATTTCACACATTTCAATCACTAAAGAAATTATCCGTAAAACCGTGGGACAATGTTAACAGTACATTTGAACATAAGTAGGTACGTGGTACGTGCGTTAATTAATTACACACATTAAAGTGTTTCTCCAATTATCATACTAAAACATCAGTCAAGGTTTGTGTGGTTGAAAATAACCGTATGGTGATCATCTGACATAAAGATACAAAATACAGGAAACATTTATACGTGAATAAGTGAATAATTATCGCGCAATAAAACAATAAAAGCAATGCACATAATATGACAAACTATTTACACTTGAGTTTAACATGTACATGAAACAGCGTATTCCCTGTATGAAATACTTACAGCGTCATAAATTAGTAAAATGTATTGTAACCTCGTTATATCGATCTTGTTAACAACAAACCAGCCCTCGTCCACACATGTCGGATTATTGCACTCCGTTTCATCCGAACTACCGATAACGTGATGTATTGTCAATGTTTCCCATGACTTCAAGTTAACAAGGTTTTACGGTATTTCCCTGTGTTTATTTCGTTATGGCAACAATGCCAATATGTGTTAAAGGTGCGCTTGTTTGTATACGCCAGATAAGCGGTTAGTGATTGATTTGACTTCAAAGCACTGTGACACACACTGTGATCAATCACTTCCATACAGATCAAGAAGCCAATCCGATAATGGCATTGTCTCATCATTGTCTTGAGATTTAACAATGCCAAGCATTCTTAGGACCATGATTCGATGCGAACGACGGCTATGGGTTATAGATATTATTGATCTAAGATCATTGATGTCTTAGGTTCCTGTGGGGTTTCTCGGTTTGATGGTTTCCTAAATATATAACTAATCGTTAGGAAAATGTTGTGACAAAAATTATGTCCGATGCAATCCACTGTTTTGTCTTGTACCCATGTCCCCCGTGTTTTGTTTTTTCTGGTGAACAACTGACTTGCTTATATGACGGGTGCCACCCGTGGTTCAGGAGGCGCTCACCTTTTCGAGAACACCTGTTATCATCTCTATTTGGTAGTGATTCATAAACACATGTTCATTTTAGAGGCGGAACCGACTGTCAAAATAGAAAGACAGCATTATCACCAACAGATAGAGAAAAGAAGAGAACTTAATTTCTCGTGGTTTGCGAGGAAGGTGAAATCTTGACAGCTGACGTTAAGTTTGGGAAAACATTATGGAAGTAAGAGTGGTATTTTTAAACAAAACAAACCAGCAATCTGCATATATATATATATCGACTTGATGAATATTCTGGATTTCTGAAAATACCTTTCATTCATGAGGGGCTAGCGGTTGGCCATTATCTTTGAACCCAGAGTTTGATAATACTTGATCATATACAGATCAAATACTAATAATCAGATTCATATTCCAGTGAAAACAATCATAACAATTGTGAAATACACGTCGTTGTCAGTTTGCTACGTACGGCTTTCATATTCATGTATGTATATAGAATATGTACACATTATTTATAAGGTTTCGGTAGCTTCTCCTGGCTTATTTTGGAGCTGTATTGTCTCTGTAACTGATTAAACCTTATCCCCGAGTGTGTGTGTGTGAGTGAGTGAGTGAGTGAGTGAGTGGGTGGCTGGGTATGGTTTTACGCCTATTTTTACAATATTCCAGCAATATCATGTCGGGAGCTATTTTGGAGCTGTATTGTCTCTGTAACTGATTAAACCTTATCCCTGAGTGAATGAGTGAGTGAGTGAGTGAGTGAGTGAGTGGGTGGCTGGGTATGGTTTTACGCCTTTTTTTACAATATTCCAGCAATATCATGTCGGGAGCTATTTTGGAGCTGTATTGTCTCTGTAACTGATTTAACCTTATCCCCGAGTGAGTGAGTGAGTGGGTGGCTCGGTATGGTTTTACGCCTTTTTTTACAATATTCCAGCAATATCATGTCGGGAGCACCAGAAATGAGATTAACAAACTGCAACCATTTGAGGATTCGAAACCTGGCCTTCGGCGTGACGAGCGAACGCTGCAACTACTAGGCTACCCCGGCCCCACCTTTATCTCCGGAACTTGATCGTGCACAGATCTGACAAGATTATCAACATCAAAGGACATGAAATGAGAAACACACCAAGCAGCCCGATACCAACGGCAGATTTTCTTTCGTCTTCTGCACTTTTCACCTTAGCAATTGTCATTGTAAGGGTTTTAGTGTTGAGAATAAGGTCCCGTCTGATTTCAGCTTCCTTTTTCTTCAGAACAAGGGGAGATAAGTCACTGAGTCTCCCTGTCGGAATACAAGCACAACGACACACCTCTTTCGTCACACGTGCGGGGTTGGGGTCATACATGTAGGTCAGTTTGGTTTCCATGTCTTCGCTGACGGTCGTAGGTCCGTATGGTTGAATATCTATTGTATCGGTGACTCCAAAAAGCTGTATTTCTGACGTTTCCAACGTTGAAAAAATGGCCATTGTGTCCAACGCTGCCGTTTCAGTGTTAAACGGTGTCGGGTGTGTATGAAAGGGCACTGACGTCACTGTGCTTGACGGCGTTGGCTCCATGGGAAAGGATGTTGATGGCTCAGGCAAAGTTGTTGCCGGAGAGGAGGCTGCTTTGACGGACGACGGCGCTACAATGTCACTGTTGATGTCCGTAACGACAGTGGTCGATACATCACTGCTGTACGACGTCATGAGAACAGAGGCGTTACACTGGAACTTGTCGTTCTCGTCTAGGTAACCCGCAACATGGTTGTCTGGTATAATGATAAAGCACATGTTGTTAACATGAACGTGAACAATTGAAACGTTAAAAAAAAAATTCCGTATGTTTACATATTGAATGAATTAAAATATCAAAAACAAATACTAAAAACATAACAACGTATTCTTATTGGTGTAAATTCAAAATGTGAACACTAGAGACCGATCAATTACCATTATCTGCCGATTCCACAGAGAGTACATGACAAAATGACACTTGAAGAGGTGAAATGGGGTTTAACGTCGCGTCCAAAATTATTGCACTTATATAGCATGCATGTGTGAGTGAGTGAGTGAGTATGGTTTTACGCCGCTTTTACCAATATCCCAGCAATAGCACGGCGGGGGACACCAGAAATGGGCTTCACACATTGTACCCATGTCGGGAATCGAACCCGGGTCTCCGGCGTGACGAGCGAACGCTTTAACCACTAGGCTTCCCGACCGCCCCTGCATGCATGTGTGTGTGTGTGTGTGTGTGATTGTGTGTGTGTGTGTGATTGTGTGTGTGTGATTGTGATTGTGTGTGTGTGTGTGTGTGTGTGTGTGTGTGTGTGTGTGTGTGTGTGTGTGTGTGTGTGTGTGTGTGTGTGTGTGTGTGTGTGTGTGTGTGTGTGTGTGTGTGTGTGTGTGTGCGCGCTAGTCCGGAATGATGCCGATTTATAGTGCTAGCTTTCTAAGATACCATGCCGTAGTTTAAAATGAATACCCAACTCAGACACAGTATACTGACTCCGAGCCGACCAGTCCTTGTTTTAGCCCCTTAGTGCCGAGGATAACAAGTACCATCTTTAAACGTCTTTTGATATGACGCGACCGGGGATCGAACCCCAGACCCTCCGCTCTGCGGGCGGATGCTCTACCACTAGACCACGGAGGCGGTCGGTACGTGAAGAATGGGTCTTCAGCAACCCGACTTGTCAAGTCGTAAGAGGCGACAAACGAGATCGTGTGGTCAGGTTATTTTATGTAGATCGATGTTCACGATGTCAGTGACTGACTGTCTGGTCCCGGCTTGATGACCCCATTCATATAGCTGGAATAGTCCTGAGTGCGGCGTTAAACAACAAACAAAAGGCACAAAAGTGATGACAAAAATATGAATGGATCACTAAACAATTATATGTATTAGTAATCAAGACGAAAGTCTAGGGGCGGTCGGGTAGCCTAGTGGTTAAAGCGTTGGCTCGTCACGCCGAAGACCCGGGTTCGATTCCCGACATGGGTACAATGTGTGAAGCCCATTTCTGGTGTCCCCCGCCGTAATATTGCTGGAATATTGCTAAAAGCGGCGTAAAACCATACTCACTCACTCACGAAAGTCTAAGAAGGTTAGTGTAATTTTACGCCACAGTCAGCATTTTTCCAGTTTTTTCCTCTGAGATGAAACATTTTGATGCACATATTTCTGTATTTGCATAGTATGCACATATCCCTGTTCAGACATTCTAGGTATGTCAGGATTACTTTTCCTACGCTTATTCGTTCATATTTCGATCACAAGAACACCGCAGCCGAACACACAAGAAAATAGTCATCTTCATATTTTATTATCAACACGAAATAATAGTTAAGAATTGCAGAAGAATTTGGGATGACGCAGCAAAGAGCAACAAGCGGTATTTGACTACCATAAGGCTTTGCTGAAGCCTTGAATGTTGTACACTTGATTTTCTTTGTTTGTTTATTGTTTAACGCCGCACTCAGCAGTATCCCAGCTGTATGACGGCGGTCTGTAAATAATCGAATCTGCACAAGACAATCAAGTGATTGTATTATTATGTATATAGTGTTGTCTTTTTGTTGTTGTTGCATGCTCGCTTTGAAAAAAAGGTCTGTGACAGTCTAGTTGTTATGCTGTCCTTTGCTGATTTCGAATTCACAGGTCAAGAGTTTTCTTACGGGATTGGGGACGAATCGTAGGAACATATAGAACAACTTTAAACGAGGAACGGTTGAGGTAGGCGACTCGTCTATTTCTTCTATTTTTTTTATTTATTTATATTTTTTTTAATTTGGGGGGGGGGGGGGGGGGGGGGGGGGGGGCGTCGTGCGGCTGGAATATTGGATAGTGTCGCGTTAAGCAATAAACAAAACAATTCTTGAAATGTCACTTACTGTCAGTATCTGCTTCACATACGAAGCGGCTGTTCTTATTACAGTAGCTATCAAGCCATTGCCCCTTCCAATTTAGATTCATCTCTATGCATTCTTGAGCTTCTTTGTTCGGTTCCTTTCCATACCAATTTGTAAAGTTCACTGAGGTACAGTCTGTCCACACGACCACAGTATTGTCAGTATCCCATAGTCCGATGTACCAATGCGATACTGAAATAATACCATATTCTTAATGCAAATACACAGAAGATGTAAGCAAATACGGCCAAGTGACTGCGTAACGTTCCTGTGCTGCCATGGCTCTCTCCCATAGAACAGCATCAGCCAGTATGCCATGGCTCTCTCCCATAGAACAGCATCAGCCGGTATGCCATGGCTCTCTCCCATAGAACAGTACCAGCCGGTATGCCATGGCTCTCTCCCATAGAACAGTACCAGCCGGTATGCCATGGCTCTCTCCCATAGAACAGTACCAGCCGGTATGCCATGGCTCTCTCCCATAGAACAGTACCAGCCGGTATGCCATGGCTCTCTCCCATAGAACAGTACCAGCCGGTATGCCATGGCTCTCTCCCATAGAACAGTACCAGCCTGTATGCCATGGCTCTCTCCCATAGAACAGCATCAGCCAGTATGCCATGGCTCTCTCCCATAGAACAGCATCAGCCGGTATGCCATGGCTCTCTCCCATAGAACAGTACCAGCCGGTATGCCATGGCTCTCTCCCATAGAACAGTACCAGCCGGTATGCCATTGCTCTCTCCCATAGAACAGTACCAGCCGGTATGCCATGGCTCTCTCCCATAGAACAGCATCAGCCGGTATGCCATGGCTCTCTCCCATAGAACAGTACCAGCCGGTATGCCATGGCTCTCTCCCATAGAACAGTACCAGCCGGTATGCCATGGCTCTCTCCCATAACACAGTACCAGCCGGTATGCCATGGCTCTCTCCCATAGAACAGTACCAGCCTGTCTGCCATGGCTCTCTCCCATAGAACAGCATCAGCCTGTCTGCCATGGCTCTCTCCCATAGAACAGTACCAGCCAGTATGCCATGGCTCTCTCCCATAGAACAGCATCAGCCGGTTCCAGCCTGTCTGTCATGGCTCTCTCCCATAGAATAGCACCAGCAGGTATGCCATGGCTCTCTCCCATAGAACGCCACCAGCCGGTTACGCTCAGCTGGTCCAATCTTTGGTTAACATTTGGAAGTACATCCCTCAGGCTGTTTTCAATCATCGAGTGTCAACGCAAATTATGGCCAGAACCAATATTTGCATTGTTAATTGACGCCACCCTTCTTTTAGGGCGTTATCTTCTCCTGTTAACAGGTAATACCTTCAATTAATTTGTTATGATGAAACATTGATCAGACGAATGACCAAATGTTGTTATTTTCACCGAACATAACATTTACACCGCTTTATATGAAGTGCAGTTCTTTTTTCGCCAGTATAGGACTTAATGAAGCACATTTTTCAATCACCGATGTTGGCGTGCCTGTTATCAGCATATAAATCCTTGATCAGGGACAGAATACTTTTTTCCTTCTGCCTGTTTAGTTTAACGAAAAGCTGCCAAATCACACAGTACGTTCCAAGTAAAATTCAAACTAGATAAAACTATTCACAAACGGATTAACTGTTATTCTTTATGTCAATAAATTAATTCAATTGATCATTCCACAAATTATTTCCTGGAAGCTGTGGAAGAGTGAGTGAGTTTAAATATAGCCACGTTGGCAATTTTTCAGCCATAATGTGACTTGGAACAAGTTATACAATATTTATGAAATCTGTCTACGAAGGACACTATAATAACTAGCAATATATCACAGATTGACTTAAAACTAGTTGTAGAACATTAATAATATCTTATTATTGGGGTACGACACGATATAAAGATGGGGCTATAGATCGCCACACTCAGCAATATTCCAGCTATATGACGGCGGTCTGTAAATAATCGAGTCTGGGCCAGACAACCCAGTGATTGACATCATGAGCATCGATCCGCGCAATTGGGATCGATGACATGCATCAACCAAGTCAGCGAACCTGACCACCCGATCCTGTTAGTCTCCCCTTACGACAAGCAAAGTCGCCTTTTACGGCAAGCATGGGTTGCTGACGACCTATGAGACTTGGACGTAACAGAGACAGAAGAGACAGTTTATGGATACACTGACCTGTGGTTTCAAGTTTTAGGTAGGTGTATAGTAACGTATTTTTTTCCTGCGTGTCGACCTTGACCAGGTGCCCCCCAGAGTTCTGACATTCGGAGAGTCCCAGAGTCCACGTCATGGGGGTGTCGGACGGTTTCAGGCACATTGATGTGTTGGAATACATTACATAGGTATAGCCGGTAGTCGCTGAACAACCAACTATGTCATCTGAAACATACAAACACATCTGTATACAGTGGGCTCTTTGTAAACCAACCTCTTCAAACTTTCCCAGAATAATCAGTCTCAGTCATCTGCAGAAAGGACCCGTGAAGATTCCGGGGTAGAATAGGTCTTCAGCAACCCATGCTTGCCGTACAAGGCGACTATGCTTGTCGTAAAAGTCGACTAACGGGATCGGGTGGTCAGGCTCGCTGACTTGGTTGATGCATGTCACCGTATCCCAACTGCGTGGATCGATGCTCATGATGTCAATCACTGGATTGTCTGGTCCAGACTCGATTATACTGAAGTAACTTAAGAAACTGCGTGAGAATACAATGCTGGAGAAAGCAACGATGAAGGTCAATTGGTTTCCCTGTCTCACTACAGTAAACCTCCCGACCTCTTACAAACAACCCAATTGCGCGGATCGATGCTCATGATGTCAATCACTGGATTGTCTGGTCCAGACTCGATTATTTTACAGACCGCCGTCATATAGCTGGAATTTTGCTGAGTGCGGCGTTAAACAACAAATAAACAAACAAAACAAACCGCCCAAGCATTTTCTGCCGCGTTGTTGACAGGGTCGGAAAATCATATCTAAACATATTGGGAATGTCAGACTGAGCAAGTTATAGCACAATGTATTGAGATTTCCAAAAGTAAATCCTCCTTGGTTACATAGTAATTTGAAGGGATGGTGTAAATCCTGCCAGGGTCCATGCAGGTAGCAAAGGTACTGTCAGTCTCCATGGTCCCTCGTTAATTGGCCTAACTTTAGTTGTTCAAGGTGATCAATAGCCTGTTTTTATGATGTGTCGTCTGTCATAATTCAATCATTTTATTGTTCTAAAACTAGTTTTAAAGTTGTAATCTGTGATATATTGCTAGTTGTTGTACTGTCCTTTGACGACAGTTTTTTTATATATGCTATAACTTGTTCAAGTCACGATATGGCTGAAATATTGCCGATGTGACTTTAAATCTTATCTCACTCACTCACTCACATAGTAATTTGAATGTTGATCAGATATTGACATCAAGTTTACCCATTCGTTGACCATTGCTGGTGACCCCCGCTGGGATATTGCTTGAATATTTCTGTACGCGTCGTAAAACCATACTCAATCTCTCACTCCATTCTATGGTTAGATGGAAGAACACACTTACGAATACACGTGTTGTTAACACTTGTGGGCTGTGGATTATGAAGAACCTTTTCGCAAACGTGCGGATTTCTGCTGGCGCACGTGTAGTCGTCCCATTTGTAACCAACCGTGAATAGGAGTTGGCCACAAAGACCGCTGTTATCAGGTTGGGCCTCGGCCCACCCCTCATAGTGTATGCTTTCTCCGTCCGTCCAACGCCACACCAAAACGCCGGAACTAGAATTGTTGTACTGACGTAGCCCTATCCAGATGTATTGATCCGTGGATGCGATGGCTAGAACAACAAAACGAAGGGTGGAGTGCATCGTCCATTCTTCTCAAAGTGAGCTCACAGCGTCTTTTCCATCAGCTGTGAAAAATACTGACGCGGGCTACTTTTATAGAAGTTTATTTGTTATGTTTCTTTCTTTGCAGCCACAATCAGCAATATTCCAGCTATTTGACGGCGGTCTGTAAATAATCGAGTCTGGACCAAACACTCCAGTGATTGACATCATGAGCATCGATCCATGCAATTGGTGTACGATGACATGCATCAACCAAGCCAGCGAGCCTGACCACCCGAGATCTAAAGTGCTTGGTACTAACATTTACTCTTAACTGTGTGCGTTGAATATAAAAATACAACTAAAAGTAAAAGCAGCATCTACAAACGTTACCATGATTGGACACCATATTGATCACAGCATCGCTCTTCTGTTGAGTGTTCAACTTGACCAGGCGATCTCCGCTCGCCAAACATGCCACCCTGGCCTCTGACCAGTTCAATGCCGGGGTGTTGACCTTGACACACAATTTCGGGTCAGTCAAGTACTGGTAACCTTCACCAACAGGACAGGTCACAGGATCTGGAATAATATATATATATATATATGTGTGTGTGTGTGTGTGTGTGTGTGTGTGTGTGTGTGTGTGTGTAATAAATATATATGTTGCACATACAATACCTATGTAAGAATCGGACCCTGAGCAAGAATCGCTTTCGAGCAAATTTTGAAACCCGTGATGACGTTATTTAGACACGATTCGATCTATATTGGACACTCTCCTCATATCCGAGTCCCCCACACAAACACGTCGAACGACATTGATAAGTGATAACGTGATCAGGTACAGGCGGCGTGTCAATACGATTTATTTAAAACATATGATGTGACCCGAGTGATTGTAGTGACCTGATCACTTAATAAGCGACTTTCGACCCCTGAAGATTCCGGGGTAGAATAGGTCTTCAGCAACCCATGCTTGCCGTAAAAGGCGACTCAGAATAAAGAGCACTCAGCAGTATTCCAGCTATATGACGGCGGTCTGTAAATAATCGAGTCTGGACCAGACAATCCAGTGATTGACATCATGAGCATCGATCCAGGCAATTGGGATCGATGACATGCATCAACCAAGTCAGCGAGCCTGACCACCCGATCCCGTTAGTCACCTCTTACGACAAGCATAGTCGCCTCTGGCAGTAAGAACGGGACGGGGTCTCCATGTGCTGAAGTTAAACTGTAAGTAAAACATGCCCCCCTTAAGATGTGTAAGGAGTGTAATC